AAAGTGTACAAAATTTGAGCAAAATCGGCAGCACAGTTCTTGAGTAATCAAATTTTAAATATAGTGCAGAACCTCTTATCCGGAAATCAGAAAACCGGAAAACCAGAATGAAATTTAGAACTGGAAATTAATTTTCCTCCATTAAAAAAAAGTTTTTTTTTCTTGCAAGATTTTGAGCCCATTTTGTTATTTAGAGCGTACGGCGTATCGAGTTGACGAAAGAACTGATTTAGAGGACGGATCAAAAGCCGTTTGTAGACGAATCTCACATAAGCACAAATAGCTTATATATGTTATTAATGTTAATAATAACATATAGAAGCCTGTTTACATTTTTTATTTCATAATTTCTTTCCTTATTTAAACTTATGTGAATTATTATTTATAATTTTTTATTATTTCTTAAACTATTTAAAAAAATTTTTTTAGTTTCGTTTTATAAACATTAAAAAAAACGACATTGTGTAGCGATTCAGAAAACCGGAAAAAATCAGTTATCCGGAATCTCGATGGTCCCGATCGTTCCGGATAATCGGCTCTCTACTGTAAAAATTTTTTTTGGTGCATAACTTCTAATGACAAAAAAATAAATAAATAAAATAAAATTAAAAAAAGGGTGGGGCAGGAAAAATAAATTGCTGAAAAAGGGAGCAAAATTAGGGACTAATTTTCACATAAATTTTTCTTTTTTACTTTGTTGCAGTTCTTTAATCTTGCAAGGAAGAAAACTTTCCGCTCGTAGTAAAATATTTCACAGTCACAAGTACATTGCAAAAAGAAACATTAAATTCGAAAACACATAATTTTTTAAAATTAGTTTTAAACTGTTTCATATATTTATTTTTAAGTGTATCTGAACACGAGATATTGAGAATTTATCTCAGTTATTGTTTTAAAAAATCAAAATGTTAGGAGTTAATTGACAAACCTGTCTTGTCTTCCAGCTCTCCTACTGACTCTGAAGGAACTAATGTCTCCACAATTTTCATCCGTATTTGTGCCGATGGGCCATACTGACTAGGATCGATTGTCAACAGACTCACAAGAGAACCTGTTAATTACAGTCGGAATGATTAGTATTGGAATAAAATATACAATTTCAAGGGGACAACAATCACTCAGATAAAAGAATTCCCTGATATATATAACTAATGGCATAGGTTTTATCACAAATTTCTTCAGCTGCAATATGTTACAAAATGCTTGTATTTGTTATTAGAGCTGAAAATGAAAATTGTCTTACAAATAATTAACACAAGATCCATTTTTTGAAAAAATATCGAACTTTTGGGTACCTCAAACTAAAATTGGTTAATTTTTCATGACTTTTTGGATATTTAAACTAAATTCCCTATTCTGCGAGCACCCTGAGCTTCAGGGTTGCCACTGACATCTGCAAAAACAATTCCCTGTGTTTTACCTGCACATATGATACACAATATATTAAGAGGAAACACACATTCACTGTGTTCTTGTAATCTACATTAGGATAAAGAAGTTAGTTTTAGCTATTGAAAAAACTTGGAGAAATAAGAAACAGAATGAAACAATATATAGCCGAACCAGAGCTCATTCTAGGCAGAAAAAAAGCCAGGGTGCAAAAGTTTAAAAAAAAGGGCATTAATTATTCTAAAAAGGCAATAATGTCTTTCTATGGGCTTTACACGTTCCATTAAAAAACATTGTCAATTTTTTATTTTACTTTTTTGTACCAAAGCAATCATATTAATTACTAATTTTTATTAATAAATTAACATATATATATCAAGTTAATGAGCTAGTTAGCTTTAATTTATTTAAAATGCATGCATATATTAATAAAATAATAAATGTATGTTTTTAAGAGTCTGTAGTTATGATTTAATAATTAAATTGATTATTAATAATTATGATTTAATGTTAGTGAAGTAACTGTAAACTTTCAAAGACAAGTGCAACAAGGGTGTGTGATGGCTAAATAAAAAGAGTTGAAAATAAAGAAGGGTTGAGGAAAGAAAGGGCAACAAGGGTATGGAGTCTATTACATCAGGGCACTAATTTACTTCAGGGGCAACAGGGTGGATTCTTTTGACTAAAAGGGCAGGCACGGTGCTGCACCTGTTTACCCTGTCTAGAATGAGCTCTGGCCGAACTGTCACCTTTAAATATCCCATAGATAGCGCTTCGAGAGGTGTGAATTTCTTAAAAGACAAATATAAGAAATAAAATTCCCTGTTATTTTAGCTGATTTTTAAATTTCCTGTACTTTTCAGATTTTTACTGTTCTCCCTGTGGAGTGGCAACCTTGATAAAGATAAGTAATAGATTAAAACAACTAAATCAATCAAATATAAAGATGATGTACCTATTGAGCCATGAACACATGCAATTCTATCACAAGGGTAGCGTCCAAGATCTGACAATGCATAGAGAGCCTCCAAAGTATAAAACAACAACATTATATCATGGGCTGTTAAGTAGAATACCAGCTGCTGATAAACCTAAATAAACATTTCTTATTAGTTCATGAAGTAAATAAATATAATTAAGAGTAAAGTCACACTTATCCTTAATAATTTTCCAGGCATGCAAACATATGATCTCCTTAATTGCTTTCACAAAATTTGATTAAGGTATCGAAATTAAATTATGTATTTAGTAATTTTGTAGATGAAACATAAAAAAAAATAGTGCATCTTTTAACTGAGTTGAAAGGCAAAAAATTAGTGTATAATTGAGAATTAAATTTGCAAGGAAACTGTTCAACTATTGGAAACATTGTTATTTTTTAATTAAAAATAACTATGAGTTATAAAAAGTTTAAAAAATACAAACAAAAATCAGGCTTCTCAATAAAAATGATACAACTTCGTAGAAAAAAAAAAAAGAGAAAATAATTTTTAAATCAAAAATTTATACTAAAAATCATATAAGACTGATATGTTTGAATTTTGTTTTGTATTAATATTTTTGATTAAAACCTTAAAGTAGATAGCTATTTGAAAAATCAATTCGAGAAAAACAGTACGGACAGAAATATAGAATAAGCTGCATTCTCCTTCACCAAACCAAATGTATGCAAGCAAAATTCCTTAGTATCGATGACAAAGAGAGCTTATAAAATAGCATTTTCAAAATAACCAAATAATTAGTAACAATGAAATATACATATATATATGAAATATATATATAGTGAAAAGAGATTACTTGTTTCCAAAGCATAAAGCAACAAACCAAGCATTTTTATATCTTCCCATTTTTCTCGAGTTGAATTTGGGGGGGGGGGCAGGCATTATGTATTTATCTACAACTATCAATGTTCAACTCAGTAGCCTTGTAACTCCTGGATCGAATATTCGGTCGAACTAGCTTTTTGATGGAACTAACATGCAGAGGAAAACCATGAAAACCTCTCAGAGTTAGCCAGACATCAAAAGGGATTCCCAATCGATAATTTGTCCACCTTTTTCGTAAGTACTGTGGACTGGAGCAGAATTCATGTCGACCTGCCATCGCCGCGATCTGAACCTGGGGCACCTCATTGGGAGACGGACACTCTTACAGGGCATCTGCTACATTTCAGATTTTCAAATTCATGACTTTTCATGACTAATTCCAAGATTTTTCATGACTTTACGAAGTTGCTATTTTCTCTGACAAAAACACAAAAAATTTAAAAAAGTATTATAATAACAATAATTGAAATGATAAGTATAACCAAAACTGTTATACTCTGCCTCTTCATATTTATAGATTTTAAATTTAAAAAACAGAGTAAAGAATGAGTTGAAGCAATAAAATAGTTGAAAAAAAAAACAAAAACAAATAATTTTTTCTTCTTTTTTTCAGCAGAATTATATATATACTTTCTTGTTCATTAATAATTCGTATAAGATACTTTTCTTGTTCATCAGAAACGAAAGAAGTACTCCTGATTTTTCTGTTCTCATTTCAGAATTTAAAAAAAAATTCGACAATGACTGGCTTGCTTCAGCTAGAATTTTAAATTGATAAAATAAAAAAAATAAATAATAACAAAAATTCTGAAATCACAGAAGTTTAAAAGATAATTTGCTCTAGAAATGACGTTTTTTTCTTCTTTAATTTCTTTGAAAGAACACCATAATTTTTAAAGAACGTGATAAAAACATCTCTTATTTTAATAAAATATGACTGCGAGTGGGTATTTTGTTACAAATTCAGATATTTGGAACACTGCAAAATGGGGTGGGGACGTAAATTCCATTTTAAAAATTAGATTATTCGCGACCTAAATCCATGACTTTCCATGATTTTTTAAAAAAAAAATAGTTAAAATCATGACAAATTTTGTTGAATACTGAAATTTATGACTTTCCATGATTTTTTTTAAAAAAAATAGTTAAAATCATGACAAATTTTGTTGAATACTGAAATTTATGACTTTCCAGGTGGTACCCTGCTCTTAGGTATGTGAATTTTAAACAAAGATCATGACAAATTTTGTTGAATACTGAAATTTATGACTTTCCATGATTTTTTTTAANTTCAGCTAGAATTTTAAATTGATAAAATAAAATAAATAAATAATAACAAAAATTCTGAAATCACAGAAGTTTAAAAGATAATTCGCTCTAGAAATGACATTTTTTTTCCTTTAATTTCTTTGAAAGAACACCATAATTTTTAAAGAATGTGATAAAAACATCTTTTATTTTAATAAAATATGACTGTGAGTGGGTATTTTGTTACAAATTCAGATATTTGGAACACTGCGAAATGGGGGGGGGGTAGGGATGTAAATTCCATTTTAAAAATTAGATTATTCGCAACCTAAATCCATAACTTTCCCTGATTTTAAAAAAGAAAAATAGTTAAAATCATGACAAATTTTGTTGAATACTGAAATTTATGACTTTCCAGGTGATATCCTGCTCTTAGGTATGTGAATTTTAGACAAAGGTCAAACAAACCTCAATGTCTAATCTTGATGGTATGACATCTTCATTAGGATCACAGCTACATAATTGAGAGAGGATATCCATCGATCTAATAGCAAAGAAACGATCGTACGACTGTATTCCGTCAGTAACAGCTTGGAACAATAAACGAGAACAAGCATCCTTCTCAATCGATAGCTTGACCTATAGCAGGAAAAACAATTGATATGAAACATTCATTTAAGTTTTCCGTTTTACGATACACATATAAAAAAATAGCATAAAATGGAATATGAATTAACTAATAATATACTCACAGCAGATGCAACATTAGACAGTGTGTCATAGGCTGTTTGCTTAAGATTGGACCACGATGAGTTAATTGAAAGTAAAAGAAACTTAAAAATAAAGAAACATAATATAAAAAAAGTAAACTTATTAAGTTGCATATAAAAGTATATTCAAAGAAATGGAATAGAAAATGCATAGTAAGTCTAATTAACAACATAATTTATAAGTAAAAAGGAAGCTTTTCTCAGAGGAAAACATATTATTGAATCTGATTTAAATAATCCAATGCAAATTTTATTGGATACAGAGACAAAACATAAAAGATTACACATTTCCTTGTCTTTAAAGTACATTCTCACCTCAAGCATATAACAAAAAAATAAATAAATAAAAAATAAAAATAAACAATCAAAGTTTAGTTCCATATTTGTGTCAAATTTCTTAAAATACATAAAGACTATGAAAATTTATATATATAAAGACTATAAAATTTCTTAGTTTAAAAATTAGGATAAAAATTAAAATTAATTAGGAAAAAGTTGCCAGACTTGCAGCCACATAAAACTTTTAGTAGTTGGCTTTGATCCTTTGGAATCAACATAAAAAAAAATTTAATTAAGTTCCCAGGAAAAATGAATTATAGGCACAAAAAAAGCATGACATTTTCTATCATCTAGTTCAGGTAATTTTNTATTAAAAAAAAATAAAATATTCTTTTTGAAGCGTATGTGTGGATTTTTGTAGGTAATAAACATAATTCGCTACACAATATGACGAAAGTAAAATTATTCGCTTCACAGAGAAAAATAATAGCTATACTCACGTGACCTACAATCATAATTTTTCCTCCAAACAATAGATAGTCGCCGACAAGTTGTAAGTGACCACAAAATAATGTATTTATCACCAAAAACATGTTTTTGTTTTAAGTTTACACAGACGATCTAGATTCCACGCTTAGTTTGACTTTAAGAGACAATTTTTGGGGTCTTATGAATAATTAAAAGTTACAGAAATCAATTTTCGAATAGAAATATAAATGAGTAATACTATTTAAAATCTTCAGAATATTTTTTTAAAAAAAATATTCATTTAGTAACCCTAATTAATACCACATTGAGAGCAGTGTAGTTCACAGACATTATACAGTTTGCACACATTACCTGGCATTCAAATGTCAGCTAAAATAATGACATTTTATCATTTTTTTTAGACTTCAATGTTGTTCTACTTTTAGGCCTGGCATTTTAAATTTGTCTTATTTACAACGCTTTATTTTCTTATTTGGAAGAAAAAAAGGAGACTTAATAATGCTTAGAGAAAGCATGACAATCTCTTCAAATGGATATTAATCTGAAACTACTCGAAGATATATTTCAACGAAATACCTTACCAATCATACATTTAAACAAAAATAAGTAACGTCATTTATAGAGAAATGAAGGGACAAATATTTTAAAAATACAAAATATTTTGGAAATCATTCTTTTTGCAAATATTTCAGAAAACTAAAAATGTCTTTAGCAGTTTAGAAGAAAATTTTTTGGCAGTCTTAAAGCAAGTAATGGACCAGAGCTCATCAGAAAAAAGGGCAGGGTGCAAAAGTTATAAAAAAAAGGCATTATTATTCTAAAAAGGCAATAATTTCTTTCTGGGGGCTTTACACGTTCTATTAAAGAACATAGTCAATTTTTTCTTTTTTTTTTTTACTTTTTTGTACCAAAGCAATCATATTAATTACTAATTTTTATTAATAAATTAACATATACATATCAAGATTAATGAGCTAATTAGCTTAGTAATTTATTTAAAATGCATGCATATATTAATAAATGTATGTTCTTAAGTGTCTGTAGTTATGATTCAATAATTAAATTGATTAATAATAATTATGATTTAATTAGTGAAGTAACTGCAAACTTTCAAAGACAAGTGCAACAAGGGGGTGTGATGGCTATTTTTCCTTTCCCATATAAATCTATGTATTGACAGCAATGACAAACTAAATAAAAAGAGTTGAAAATAAAGAAGGGTTGAGGAAAGAAAGGGCAAAAAGTCTATTGCATCAGGGCACTAATTTACTTCAGGGGCAACAGGGTGGATTCCTTTGACTAAAAGGGCAGGCACGGTGCTGCACCTGCTTACCCTGTCTAGAATGAGCTCTGGCCGAACTATCGCCTTTAAATATCCCATAGATTGCGCTTTGAGAGGTGTGCATTTTCTAAAAGACAAATATAAGAAATAAAGTTCCCTGTTATTTTAGCCGATTTTTAAATTCCCTGTACTTTTCAGATTTTTCCTGTTCTCCCTGTGGAGTGGCAACCTTGATAAAGATAAGTAATAGATTAAAACAACTAAATCAATCAAATATAAAGATGATGTACCTATTGAGCCATGAACACATGCAATTCTATCACAAGGGTAGCGTCCAAGATCTGACAATGCATAGAGAGCCTCCAAAGTATAAAACAACAACATTATATCATGGGCTGTTAAGTAGAATACCAGCTGCTGATAAACCTAAATAAACATTTCTTATTAGTTCATGAAGTAAATAAATATAATTAAGAGTAAAGTCAAACTTATGCTTAATAATTTCACAAAATTTGATTAAGGTATCAAAATTAAATTATGTATTTATTTAGTAATTTTGTAGATGAAACATTAAAAAAAATAGTGTCTCTTTAACTAAGTTGAAAGTCAAAAAATTAGTATTCTTTTTAAATTGAGAATTAAATTTGCAAGGAAACTGTTCCAACTATTGGCAACATTGTTATATTTTTTAATTAAAAATAACGATAAGTTATAAAATCTTTAAAAAATATGAACAAAAATCAGGCTTCTAAATAAAAATGATACAACTTTATTGGGAAAAAAAATGAGAAAATAATTTTTAAATCAAAAATTATATTAAAAATCACATAAGAGTGATATGTTTGAATTTTGTTTTGCATTAATATTTTTGATTAAAATCTTAAAATACATAGCTATTTGAAAAATCAATTCGAGAAAAACAGTATGGACAGAAATATAGAATAAGTTGCATTCTGCTTCACCAAACCAAATGTATGTTCACAGCAAAATTCCTTAGTATCGATGACAAAGAAAGCTTATAAGATAGCATTTTCAAAATAACCAAATAATTAGTAACAATGAAATATATATATATATANATATATATATATTGTTTATTATTCAGCAGTTTCATCTGTTGATAAACTTGTAAAAAAACTTTGAAACAATTTAGTGAAAAGAGATTACTTGTCTCCAAAGCATAAAGCAACAGACCAAGCATTTTTATATCTTCCAGTTTTTCTTTAATTGATTTTTTTTGGGGGGGTAGGCATTATGTATTTATCTACAACTATTAATGTTCAACTCAGTAGCCTTGTATTTTGAACCCGACCCAGACGACACGAGAACTCCTGGATCGAATACTCGAATGAACTAGCTCTTTGATGGAACTAACATGCAGAGAAAAACCATGAAAACCTCTCAGAGTTAGCCGGACATCAAAAGGGATTCCTAATCGATACCTTTTTGTAAGTACTGATGACAGGAGCAGAATTTATGTCGACATGCCATCGCTGCATTCTGAACCTGTGTCGCCTCATTGGGAGACGAACACTCTTACAGGGCATCTGCTACATTTCAGATTCTCAAATTCATGACTAATTGCAAGATTTTTCATGACTTTACGAAGTTACTATTTCCTCCGACAAAAACACAAAAAATTTAAAAAAGTATTATAATAACAATAATTGAAATGATAAGTATAACCAAAACTGTTATACTCTGCAGCTTCATATTTATAGATTTTAAATTTAAAAAACAGAGTAAAGAATGAGCTGAAGCTATAAAATAGTTGAAAAAAATACAAAAGCAAATAATTTTTTCTTCTTTTTTTCAGCAGAATTATATTCTAAAGATACTTTTCTTGTTCATCAGAAACGAAAGAAGTACTCCTGATTTTTCTGTTCTCATTTCGGAATTTAAAAAAAAATTCGCCAATGACTGGCTTGCTTCAGCTAGAATTTTAAATTGATAAAATAAAAATAATGAATAATAACAAAAATTCTGAAATCACAGAAATTTAAAAGATAATTTGCTCTAGAAATGACGTTTTTTTCTTCTTTAATTTCTTTGAAAGAACACCATAATTTTTAAAAAATGTGATAAAAACATCTTTTATTTTAATAAAATATGACTGTGAGTGGGTATTTTGTTACAAATTTAGATATTTGGAACACTGCGAAATGGGGGGGGGACGTAAATTCCATTTTAAAAATTAGATTATTCGCGACCTAAATCCATTATTTTCCCATGATTTTTTTTAAAAAAAATAGTTAAAATCATGACAAATTTTGTTGAATACTGAAATTTATGACTTTCCAGGTGATACCCTGCTCTTAGGTATGTGAATTTTAGACAAAGATCAAACAAACCTCAATGTCTAATCTTGATGGTATGACATCTTCATTAGGATCACAGCTACACAATTGAGAGAGGATATCCATCGATCTAATAGCAAAGAAGCGATCGTACGACTGTATTCCGTCAGTAACAGCTTGGAACAATAAACGAGAACAAGCATCTTTCTCGATCGATAACTTGACCTATAGCAGGAAAAACAATTGATATGAAACATTCATTTAAGTTTTCCGTTTTACGATACACATATAAAAAAATAGCATAAAACGGAATATGAATAAACTAATAATATACTCACAGCAGATGCAACATTAGACAGTGTGTCATAGGCTGTTTGCTTAAGATTGGACCACGATGAGTTAATTGAAAGTAAAAGAAACCTAAAAATAAAGAAACATAATATAAAAAAAGTAAACTTATTAAGTTGTATATAAAAGTATATTCAAAGAAATGGAATAGAAAATGCATAGTATGTCTAATTAACAACATAATTAATAAGTAAAATGGAAGCCTTTCTCAGAGGAAAACATATTATTAAATCTGATTTAAATAATTCAATGCAAATTTTATTGGATACAGAGCCAAAACATAAAAGATTACACATTTCCTTGTCTTTAAAGTACATTCTCATCTCAAGCATATAACAAAAAAATAAATAAATAAAAAATGTTCCATATTTGTGTCCAATTTCTTATAATACATAAAGACTATGAAAATTTATACATATAAAGACTATTAAATTTGTTAATTTAAAAATTAGGATAAAAATTAAAATTAATTAGAAAAAAGTTGCCAGACTTGTAGCCACGTAAAAACTTTTAGTAGTTGGCTTTGATCCTTTGCAATCAACATAAAAAAATTTTAATAAATTTCCCAGGAAAAATGAATTATAGGCACAAAAAAAGCACAACATTTTTTATCATCTAGTGTAGGTAATTTTACAATTTATTTTCAAATCAAAAATTTAAAAAAAGAGAGCATCATATAAATGCTACTTTTAAAATTTTGAATTAATTGCTAACTTTATACAATTGAAAAGACATCACATGACACAAGTAACAGTTAGTAGAAAATCATGAAAGTTTCACTTTATTGAATCATCCAAAGAAAAAAATTCTCCATTAAGATTAGGCACGTTATATAAATATATATTTGAAGAAAAACATTTAACATGAAATAAAATAGAACAAGTTGAATTTTTGAATTTTTTAAACTTAACTGAACCAACACTTATATTTTGCAGTATTGTAGGGTATGCAGGAAAGGGACAAAGTGATCAGTATTCTGTACAAAGTATTACTTTCATATTAATAAATACATCATAAGTGATAACTGAGAAAACCTTAAAATTCAGGTATAATGAATAATCTTTTCTTCCATTACATACCTTAAAAATGTATTGCTCTGAACTAAAACAGGAACATTGTTCTTTTCAAATGATAAATTATGCAGAATCAAAGCAACCTATCAAGAAAAGATAAACTTGTTAGATTCATTAAAAATTGCAGACAAGTAAAAAAAGCCTGAGCACAACATAAATGTACAATTAATAAAAATTAAATCAAAAGAACCTCCTTATAAGCATCTATTAAAAAAAAAAGTTCACTCATAAAATTTGAAGTAGGTAAAGAAAATCAGTTTAATAATGGAAAAATAATCATATTCCCAATAATTTTATAGGTGTTTACCAGTCTAATGTATCAAAATTTGCATGAGTTATAAAAACAAACATAATACAGAGTATCAGGCAAGTATTAGAATTGAAGAGCCAGTTTCTTTTTTAAATTTTTTTTTACTGTAAAAAAATTTAAAAAAGAAACTGGCTCATCAATTCTAATACTTGCCTGATACTCTGCATTATGTTTGTTTTTAAATTTTTTATTTTATTTACATTATCAGAAAGCTAAAAATAGATATTTATTTACTGTCATATCATTCATCAAATGATATTCCATACTAAGACATCAGCAACAAATACTGGAAATTCTTAGGTTGATATTGTTTAATACTTTTTCCTTTCGTAACAAGTAATTCAGTTTTTAAACCAACTAAGTTTTATTTTTTTCGGTAACATATTTATTAAACTTCTGCACACCAAAAATTTTAAAGCCTTAAATTAGTCTTATTACTTTTAAGCCTTACACAATTGGATAAAACACACATGTGATAGGTCAAATAAACAAATGGATGAAAGCATGAATGTAATGAATCTGAGGATTAAGAAAATCTGTAAATTTAGTCATACCTATTTATTAGGTTATACATTGCAGAGCAAGATAACAATATAAACTATCTACATACACAGTTCAAAAAACTTACTCTTTTATCCAACAGTTTTGCAAATTCTTAAAAATGAATTATGTGAATGAATACAAACAGCAATTTAAAGTGTTAAAAATACAAACAGCAACTAAAATCTCAAAAGATATTTCTAAGATATATCCTTTTCATCATTTTAAAGTATTTTTTAATTATTATTAATATAAAATATATAGGATTTAGAGACTTAAATATCTTCAAATTGATATTGATTCGCAACAAGACTTTAAAAAAAAAAAATTCAATTTCATAAAACTTGATAAATAATTTTAATTATAAATTGTATACAGCTAAATAACGATATTAAATAAATAACACTGAAGTACTGCATCGTTATATTACAGAGAAGCTACTAAAGGAAAAACCATTCTTATACATACATTACTATAAAATTTAAATATTAATTGTTTATTTGCTTGCTAAATGGAGTTTTAAAATAACATAGCATATTGAAAGTATTTAGTTCTTTGTCTATTATTACTATGCTAGTATATTTATGGAACAAAAGCGGATATTTTTGACTTGTTATTGAAACATTAACTAATAGTTATATGGAATAGTTAAACACTATGAAAGACATTAGTTAATTTCTATTAAGAGCCCAAAATTTTTATTGTAGTCCATTTACGTCGCACTAGAGATGCACAATGGTCTATTGGTGACGGTCTCGGAAACATCCCTGAGGATCATCCGAAGAAATGCCATCACAATTTTGATCCTCTGCAGAGGTATTGGCACCCCCGCTTCAGTAGCCCAATGACCTGCATGCGAAGTCGTGCACTTTACTTAATTTTTTTTTAAAAAAAAGTTTAAATTAAAAAACCTGGTTTGAACTAAAAATACTGGGAACTGTGTTTTAATGATCAGATCACCGATGTCAAGCATCAGTAAATGTATTACAATAAATGTGAATGAAAGAGAATTAAAAGAAGAAAGAGATTTAAAAGAGTAATGGCATAAACGAGATTTAGCTTATTAGAACTGTACTGAAGACTTACTAAAACTGTAAAAAGACCTACGACTTTCTGGTTAAAAAAAGTTTTTTTTGAGAGATCAAAATTTTAAAAACTAGTTTTAAAAAATGGAGTTAAAAAAAAAATTGTAAACAAGTAATTCAAATAAAATTCATATAAAAATAAAATTTTTTTTTACAAATAATTATTTAAATAATTAGTATTTACCCGCAGCACTCTTTGCCCTTCAGCATTCAAGGAGCCCAACTCATTTTCAACATTGAAAAGGTCTCGATAAGATTCATACTCCCCTGCAGGATAAAAACACAAACTGTAATGTCACTAACAATGTAATTATTAAAATATAACACAATCAAAAATTCCAAGAAATAACAAATAGATTCACATCAATGTAATGTAAAATGGGGTGTCAGCTATGCAACTGTTGACATTAATAATTTTATTTTAATAAATCACCAATCCACAGTTGAAGTCCTTAAAAATAAATAAATAGAGTCATTTATGCTTTCTAATTGGCTCTGTAGTTTACAGTATTTTTTTTTAAAAACATTTTTAAAGCATCTCTGTTTTTGGTATTTACCTATGACAGTTAGTTTTCACTATTCTAAGCCATTCATGTTTAAGAACTGTTATTCTCACTTTGATGAGCTTTTCATTCGTGCAGTTTGATGTACAATTTGCAACAATATTATGGTAAATCCATATGGGTTTCATCAATTGCATTTTCAACTGTTATTAATTATACATTTTAATTAAGAAATTAAGACATTAATTTCAATGTTTTCAATTATCAAACCTAATCATATTGAAATAAAATTATAACGATAGCAAAAATTGTAAGTAACATGAATATACTCTACTTTTACTATCAACTTTTTAAGAATAATTTTCAATCTTCAAGACTGAGTACAAATAATGCTTTAATTTTTAAATATTTTTGTCATTGACAATTTAAATATATTTAATTTATATCTATTATATGTTACAAAAATTTTCTATATTCTAAAGAAAAGAATTGGAAAATATTTTTGAAAATTTTAAATTCGAGAATGGGGATATTGGGATTATAGGATTATATAATTAAGTTTCATTGTGTTAATGGTCACTGAAATAACTTTAAACATGAATAAAAATATTTTTCTTCAAACATCAAATTTTATAATAATGGTCTGCAAAAAATAGCCTCTATAAAATAAATAAATAAAAATGCAGGTAAGAAATTTTTGAGAAAGTGTATTTTTAATTGAGTCGCTCAGAAGCCAATGCGGTTAAGTCCAAAACACAGAAATTGAGAAAATTAATGTTTTCTGATACATTAGTTTTTAAAATTCTTGGTTTAATAATTTAATTAGAAAAGTGTATAAAGTCTTTTTTCGAGGTGTAAACTCTGCAAAAAAACAAGATATGTACAGGATGTCTAAATAAAAACGTAAGTATTTATTGAAATAATGACAGCATCTTGAAAATTTTAGGACTTATACCTTTTGGCAGCTGAAAAAGATAAGAAATTTATGTAAAAAAATACATATAAAAAGTGGACTTATTCACAATGGCTTCTGAAATTATTGTACAATATATTCAGAAGCTATTAAAAAAAGGGCTGTCTAACCTAGAAAAAAGTAACCAACGAGTTAATCCTTTAATAACTTAGAAGATTATTATTTATTTCATCAAAATTTCCAAAAATCAGAAAATATCAAAAAATGGACTTAACCGCATTGGCTTCTGAGCGGCTCAATTATTGATTTTAGTTTTAATTTTTTTAAAACAGGAAATGAGACAAAAATCAAAGAAAGCAGATAATAATGAGTTTTCTCTACATGCAACACTCCTCTGCCTGTAGCAGAATTTTTTCAAGCTTTCTGCTACAATTCTCTCTAGTACTAACACCTTTCTGAAAGACATTTTTAATAGTAGCAATTCTATTAAAAATTTTACTAATTTAAAGCAAAGGAAGCACTTTCCGTTTACAAAGAAAAAGCCTTCATGCATAGAATAGAACAGTATATAATTTTTTATTTATAAATGCAAGAATTTTTTTTTTTTTAAATTTAAATATAAAAGAATACATATTCTTATATTATTGGCAATATTCTTCTACTCAAAAAAATGTTTGTATAGTCAACCTTTTTTAAATTTTTGCTATTTTGAAATTACTTTTTATAATATCAATCTGAAATTCCAGCTAAAGTCTGTCATTGAAGAATTTTTTTATTCTCTAAAGAAAGTAAAAAAAAAAAAAAAAAAAAAAAAAAAAAAGTAAGAGCATTTATTCCATCTCTGATATGCATGAAAGGCAGTTTTTAAATATAATTCTGCAGAAAAAAATATTTTGAAAAATTCTGCAGATAAAAAAAAAAAAACTTTGTTGCTTCCCAAAGAAAAAATCTTTCTGCAAGAATTGAAAATGTTACTAATTTAAAGCAACAGAAGCACTTTCTGTTTATAAAGAAAAAGCCTTCATGCATAGAATAGAACAGTATATAATTTTTTATTTATAAATGCAAGAATTTTTATTTTATTTTTAATCTAAATATAAAAGAATACATATTCTAATATTACTGGCAATATTCTCCTATTCAAAAAAGTTTTTTGTATAGTCAACCTTTTTTAAATTTTCCCTATTTAGAAATTACTTTTTATATCAATCTGAAATTCCAGCTATAGTCAGTCATTGAAGAATCTTTTTATTCTCAAAAGAAAGTAAAAAAAAAAAAAATCAAGAGCATTTATTCCATCACTGATATGCAAGAAAGGCATTTTTTAAAAATAATTCTGCAGGAAAAAATATTTTGAAAAATTCTGCAGACCCAAACTTCGTTACTTTCCAAAAAAAAATCTTTCTGCAAGAACTCTGTACTGATCTGCGACAATGTCGCCCTGATTCTGCCATTGGGCTTTCGTCCCTGAAAAGTTTCAGATTTCAAATTCCTAACTCTCCCCTTTGTAAGGTGAGTTGATTATCATTACTCGCTGAGAATCATCCAACACACTTCTGGGCCATTTGGTATTTTAAAGACATTGAAAATTTCAGACCTAGGGAACCTAACAGTTAAACACAATTTTACAATAAAAAATTAGATTATAAATACCTATTGTAAATCCCAATAACTGCAAAAGCGTTTCAAATTTCACATCTAAAGTGCTTTGCCAGAATTGGCACATTTTTCGACCCTCCAAGTTCTGCCAACTCTCTAAATACATGAGTTTCGTAGAATCATCATCTGAAATAATATTAAACAATGTTATGCACACAACTGTTTCATTCATCTTTAATAAAAGCTAATATCTATAAATGTTTATTTCAATGAAATAGGAGAAAATTAATAAGAAATTTAGCAAGCACTAACATTTTTAAACAGGATTGGCATGATTTAAATCACTAGATCTTTTTTTTTTTTTTTTTTTTAATAAATCAGATGGAAAATAGTTTCATAAATATACATTCCTTAGGGTGTGATTTTAGTTAAAGTTTGATAAGGAAAATTGTTATATTTCAAAATAGACTGATAAATAATTAAAATTAGAGACTAAAACTGTAAGTAATGTTAAACTGTTAAAATATGATTTTCCATCAGTTACATGTAAAATAACTTGCTGATATTTTAATTTTATTTATTCAATTTTAACATATATTGTAAAACAAATTAAATACTATGTAGTAGTTAAGAGTTTACTAATACTGAAGAATAAAATACGTTCCGATCAGTGAAATTTGGAATAATTTTTTTCTCTCTAATGTATTTAGATCTAAACTAATCTTTATTGGATACCTAACTGACAAATTGCCACCCCGTCTTTAAAATTTTAGGATGTTCACCTTGAACAAATATAATCTGATTTTATTTATTTAATGATTAGTTTTTAATAATTAAAAAATAATTTTTGAACATTTAAGTTAAAAATATCAACTATTTTAGCTTTATTACTGTTTTTAAATAATATTAAGTACTGTTGATATATTTATCAGCTGATTTAACTGGTAAATATTAAAAATAAATAAATAAAATAAAAAAATCATGAATTTTGCCAATCCTGTTTTCAATATAAATGGATTATTTTCACATTTTGTAAACTTTTGTGTCCTTAAGTAGTAATATTTATTTTCCTTAGGTTATATTTATTACCTTATTTAATGATATGTTTTGTTTAAAATACTTAAAAGGAATAGAAAAAAAAAAGAAAGAAGAAAAAAGAATATGCCATCAATAAATAAATTTAGTATTCAAAATATATTTTTAAATAAGTAAAATGTCTTTACGGTCCTGTCTCCAAAATACATTAAAATTTTTTTTAAGTAATTTACTATCTTATGAAAGATTAACAGAGACAGATGCTTACATATCCTAATATAGTAAGACAGTCAACAAGAATAGGCATCAACAATAATCTTAGAATAACTTGTATATTTTGTTCTGCATATCATTTCGCATGTGTCTCTAACTATTGTGTAATTACAGGGGTCTGTCTAGGTTTTTCTGAGAGGTACCTATTTTGTGAAAATTTAGACATAATTTGTGAAAAATTAAAAATTATATTAAAAAATCAACACTAAAATATGGATTTATCGTTTCTTAAGGGATACAAAAATAAAATTTTAAGAGAAAGTATTTTGTGAAACGATCGTTTTTCCTAAAATTGAATTTGTGAAACTACCGTTTTTCCTAAAGTTGAATTTGTGAAGGTACCGCTAAACGGTAGTAAATTCGGCCTGGACAGACCCCGTAATTATTATGAAAAGTGCCACTATAGAACACTTAAGTTGAATAAAAATTTTAAGTTATAAAGAGCACTCTTCTCTGCAGAACAGTAAAGTTAATCTGCAATACCATTTCTTTAAGGGTTAATAAGGGACAAATGCTTACATATTCTAATATATAAGTATGACAATCGACTAGAATATGTATTACCAATATTCTGAGAATAACTTGTATATTTTGTTCTACACATCATTTTGTATAACTTTCGTGAAATTATTGCGAAAAGTGCCTATATATGCCTGAAGTTGAATAAAATACAAAGTTATAAAGAGCATTCTTCTCTACAGAACAGTAAAGTTAATCTGTAATGCTATTTCTCTAATTAATAAGAGTTATTACATCTTGCCCAATTCAGATACACACGTAGGAAACAAAGAAAATGAAGGTCTTACCTAATCGCCAAACTCCTGTTTGAGCAATGAGTAGGTCAACTAACTTGGGTGCTTGCTCCAGCTGAAGCATATAAGATCCCTCATTGGAGAGAATGGTGCAAACATTGAGGGCCAACTCCTGCTCATTGGGAAGACCACACAAAAGGGACAGGCACAATTTATCATAATTGGAAGGAGATGATGCTTGCACTAAGCCTATAGATAATAATACGACAAATATATTTTTGCACATCATAGATCAAAAAAATGATACATTTCTTAAAAACTAACAGCCAAAAAAAATCATGTAAAAAAAGGCCAAATTATCATCCAAAGACAAGAAAATTGATAAATAAATCACAANAAAATAGTATTATAATTAAAGAAATTAATTTTTTTTCAAGAGTTTTTGTGTTTTTTTAGTTTTTAGAAATCTCACTTAAGTTTTTGAAATCTCACCCTGTTTTTGAGAAAGGGTGAGAAATTCTCACCCATTTTTTTTCTATGATGAAAACACTGCATCATAGATCAGAAAAATGATACATTTCTTAAAAACTATCATCCAACAAAAAATCATGTAAAAAAAGGCCAAATTATCATCCAAAGACAAGAAAATTTGATAAATAAATCACAAATCAAACATGCCAAACCCAAATTTGAATGTCATAATAACATCCTATTGAAATATCAGAATGTGAAAGACTAAAAAATGATAATTAACTAATACAGAAAAAAAGGAAACTATCATCAAACGACATGACATAATAGTTTAATTGTTAGATATCAAACTCACCAGAAAGCGCTAACAAATTAAAACATAATAACATACGAAACATCAAAATTTGAAAAAATCATGTGTGAAGAACAGAAAAATGATTACTTAAAAACTATCAACCAATGACCTAAAATTATGATAGAATCGTTTATAATCGAAACGATAAATTAATCACAAATTGAACATGTTAAAGAGGGATTACTCAAATCTGAATTTCATAATAACATCTTATTGAAATATCAGAATGCGAAAAAAATCAAAAAATAATTAGCTTCCATTGACTTCCAAGATGAAAAAAAAAAAAACTATCATTAAACGGCATGGCAACAAATTAAAACTGTGATGTGTGGTGCATAGGGGGGAATTAAAACAACCTGATAGCTAACTTTTTATTTTATTGTAAACAACGTGACTATAGTTAGCACACAGCACATTCACAAACATAACATATAATACATATATGAAGAAAAAAATAAGGAGCTCTGCATGGCAGGCTTTCTACCGTTTGTTCACACTGTCACTGAGTTTTTTTCTAGTTTCTAGCTAGGGGGCGTTTCTAGTTTCAGTTTCTCCACAAAACATAATAATACACATAAGAAAAGTCAGAATTTGAAAAATTGTGTGAAGGGCAGAAAAATGATAAATTACTTAAAAACTATCATCCAACGACCTGAAATTACGACAGAATCGTTTCGAATCGAACTCGTATGAGAAGTGATAACTTGAAATCAATCTGCTTTAGAGGATAATTTAAAAAATTATGCGTGGTGAGCAAAAAAATGATAAATTAGTAAAAAACATCCAACAATCTGAAATTCAGAATCGTTTTGAATCATATTTGTACTCGAAATCTATCTGCTTTCAATTTGATCTACAAAATATCTGTTTAAATAGTATTGTATGTGAGAAAAGAATTACCAGTTGCATTAGAAGAGAAGGAGCTGTCAATCATAGATGGTTGCCTAGAAGATGATGGTTGTGGCTTTCGAGACTCAGCTTGCTGCTTCTTATCTTGCTCAGAGTCCTCATCCATGGGTTGTGTTTTCTCATGTTGGCCAACGTAGCTAGAAGAAATCATGCTGTTAATATTCTTACTCTCATTCATTAAATAAAGTAACCACTTGACAACGTTTTAAAGCTAATGATTAAAAATCATTCAATCCATTACAAAAATAATAAAATTGATCTAAAACAATTAAATAGAATAGAATTGAGTACCTATGAAAAACTGCCTTGTTTTCCAACTAGTTTTGTTCAGTAGAAAGGACAAAAAAAATTTTTTTTTTATGTAAGGCACTAAAGAAATAATTAAAAAAAAAAATCCAAATTTTTTTCAACTAGCTTTTACATAACATTATTATGCAATCTGACAAAGCTAAGATCAAGATTACCTGGAACAAAAATCCAGGAAAAAAGTTACCAACTGTTGTTTCAGATTATTTAAATACACTAAACATTTCTAGTAAAAGACTATTTTGAGATATAGTAGGGCATCAGGTCAAATTTTAAGTTTCGCACATAACAGTTTTTTATTTCAAGTAACAGATAAAAGACCAAGTTACTAATATCAATAAAAAATATCTTATGACTATGACAGAGTTTTAGTAGTAAATATCTTATAAATTTGGCGTCATAGTATCACATATTTTGTAGACACACAAAGAAAAATGGTCACGTATTAAAAAAATATTTCATCAGAATAATAGTTTTTTTCTTAGTTAAAAAAGATGAAAAAAGTAACTCTTGAACTAACGGTTCGATTTTCTGAATGGTCTGAAGAACTATCCTTAAATATGCAAATAAATTTGTGCATATGATATTTTAAGTTACAAAATCAGATACTTCTCGGAGCAAATATAAAATTGTTTTGATTTAGATTTTTGATTCTTAAAATATGGGCAGTAGCCATAAAAGCTGGTCCTTATACCTCAAGTTTAAGAGAACAGTCATCAAAAGTTAAACTATAATAATATTACTCTTTACGCAGTTCACTGTATCTCCAAAACTAATGAAACAAATAAAAAAAGAAGTAATTATAAAATTAAAAAAATCTATAGGTTGGAAGATTTTCTAGGCTATCTTATTTACTATATAAATTTTTACATGATAAAATTCAAAATATGAATACATTTGTTGAATAGTTCCTAAAAAATAGAAATTAAAAAATGGCTTCTTTCAGAAATGACAAAAAATGCAAAAAAGAAAAAATTAACATCAACTTTTAGTGACTCCCTTGCCTAAATTATAGAAACCATGTTTTAGGGATTATGGCAATTCCCGTATCTTCGGGGTCAAGAATCCAAATGTTTTGAAGAAGGAAAAAAATTTTCATACCTGCCAACATTAGAGAAATAAAATAACAGATTTTATTAGCGTCATTATTCTTGTACTACGAGTAAAGTTTTGATGCATCATACGTAATCATGTAAGTCAAAAAGAGAAATTCAAAATTGGAAATATAAGCACTTACATTTAACGAAGTAAAAAAAATTTATATTAATCTTCATCTAAAGATTCTTTTAAAACCATTATTTATAATTAAAACTATTAACACTCAACATACTGCAGTACTGGCAGTAGCACTATCTGTTGAGGAATAGGAGAAGTACTTCTGTCATCAATGGATATTTCGTTACCATTTTTTTTTTTTTTTTTTTAAAGCTTTCAACAAATACAACAANTTGGAAATATAAGCACTTACATTTAGCAAAGTAAAAAAAATGTATATTAATCTTCATCTAAAGATTCTTTTAAAACCATTATTTATAATTAAAACTATTAACACTCAACATACTGCAGTACTGGCAGTAGCACTATAGAATAGGAGAAGTACTTCTGTCATCAATGGATATTTCGTTACCAATTTTTTAAAATTTTTTTTTAAAAGCTTTCAACAAATACAACAAAACATTTCAATAAAATTAAATTTGAGAATATATAGGTAAAAAGAGGTTGATTTAGTAACTAAATTATAATCGGCACTAATTATTTAGCATACTCAATGTTAGATCCTGTTATTAATATTAAGGCATTCAATTTCATTTTGCGCACTACCCATAAATTATGACGAATAAAAAAAATTCATAGTATAAACTGTATTATAAATTTTACTAGTGATCAAAAATAAAAATTTATTTTAATACCATAAGTTTAATTTTAAAAAATTACCAACCTGTTCAATAGTTTCGCTGAAATGCAAATACAGTAACAATAAAGTAAAAATTTAAAACAAGAAATTTTAAAGAGTATTATTCAAATATATGTTCTACTTTAATAAATCTAGTAATATTTAGTTATTTTGCAGTGAAATATTTACAAGAGGAATAGAAACAGATTTATTCAAGTTGATCATCAGCGCAACTTTTTACTAACAATACATTTAAAATTCCATAATTATCTGTTTAGGCAAAATCAAACACTAGATTTCTTTGACCCAGTAAGAGAGTTGTTCAAATCACGAGATAATTTCCATAGATGTAAGATTTATTTACACAGATCTTTACAGTTAACAGACAATTTTTTATGTTTATTGAACATTGCAACAATCCTCTTTTTTCCCCCAGATCAAAAATCACTTCAGATTTCCATTTTATTCAAAAAAAAAATTTTTTTTTTCAATAATTTTTGGTATTAGTGTGGTTTATTATGCACAATATGCAGATAGTTTCTTAAATAAAAAACCCAAGCGACCTTTTTAACCTTAATACTGAGGTATTATGTAAAGAAAATCCAATTGACCATGCACAGTATTTTTTAAGTGAGAAAAATGTTTATATTTTGAAATAAAAATAGAAGTCTATCAAGATGAAAACATTGAAAAAAATAATAATAAATAACACAATAGTTGGTTTCCTAAGCAAATTAATTCTTTATTTTGTGTAATAAATAATTTAAAAAAAAAAATTTCTGACTGCTTAATAATTACACTAATGTTACTTACATTAGTTATCTTTTTAAATGAAGCATCTCAAATGCAAAGACTATATTTCCATTCAGTTAGCTTAAAGTCTACTGTCTATCTTTATCTTTGTATTAACTAAATCAAAATATATTCAGATTTGAAGAATTTTCAAACGGGGTAAAATATATTTTTAGGCTGATTTTAAATACTATCTTTATTACAGAATTTTTAAGTGCTGCAAACATAGTCTTTCATGTCTTCAAAACATACAAAGCTAAAAACGATTGTTAAAATCTTTAAAACAATAAACTTTTTAAGTACTAAATGTTTAACATGGATTAATTAATATGGAAAGCATTTTTCTGCATTGAACATCATAAGAAATAAGCCTCAAGATGCGAGTGTTAAAATTCAATATTTGTGATGTTACTTTAAAATAAACAAGCCATTATTATTTTAAAATTTTATCTGCAATTATTATCTATAACAGGGTTTACTCTTTTAACAAAGCAAAAATTAAGGACTTTTTTTGAAAAAAATTAAGAACTTTTTGAAAAATTAAGGACCTTTCCTTTCTTAAATCAATCAATAAAAAATAATAAAAAACAATTTTATTATAATAAAAGTAGTGATATAACAGTATTAATTAACAGGGTTTGCCAAGTACTATTTTAGAGGAGATATTAGGGTAGAGATAGCCAGTCTATNACTTTTTTTGAAAAAAATTAAGAACTTTTTGAAAAATTAAGGACCTTTCCTTTCTTAAATCAATCAATAAAAAATAATAAAAATCAATTTTATTATAATGAAAGTAGTGATATAATAGTATTAATTAACAGGGTTTGCCAAGTACTATTTTATAGGAGATATTAGGTTAGAGATAGCCAGTCTATTGTTTGGGTTCTGAAAACTTGTTCAAAGATTACGTTTTTGGCGAAAAATTCCCAGCTGGCGGTCGCATTGCAAAGGAATATTTGAAAGAGTACCCGAAGATTTCTCTCTTTCTTAAAAAATAATTTGAATGCATTTCCTATTTTATTCGTGATTGCAAAAGATGAGTTTTAAAATCAAAATACATTATAATATGCGCACTACATTTTTAATTATTTACTTTTAATTGCTTAGTTATAAAAAGCTAATAACAATAGTTAAATAAGATTTTACCAAACAATGAAATAAAAAGAATGAATTTTTGAATCTAAGATACAAACAGAATTGAACCCAAGATATAAATTATGCGATTATAATTAATTTTAATCATAATTTTTTTTTACTGAGATTACGTATAATAATAAAAAAATTTTACAGGACAACTAAAATAACAAATTTTTTTATTCAAATATAAACACAGATATACATAACTTTTTTATGGTTTTAGTATTATTCATTATTGATAATTTCTCTTATAAAAACAAAATTTTTTATTTTTAAAATAAATAATAATATTTATCATTATCATTTATTAGTATTAATACTTTTAAAATAAATATGAAATATTTAATATTAATGTTACTTAATGCTCCATAATTTGGGCTTCTAGTTTGCCTGCCATGTGGTATTCATTAATTTTAATCAATGCACACAATTTACATTTTTGTGAGTTAACATAAAAATAATAAAAGTATTTAAATTAAAATAAAAAATTTTGGTTTTGTTATTTGCCTCTTTATTTAAAAAAAAGTATTGCAAAAATTTAGTTCAAATTTTATATTAAAAAGAACTAATTAATGGCCAAAAAGAGAATTACTCCCTTATTTTCAGAAATCGAAATAAAAGACAGATAAAAATAATTAATAGCCACACCTTTGACAACCTATAATAATTAGTTAATAATAGGACCTATTATTAAAAATAGAATCTATAATAACCTAGTTAATATTTTCCTGAATAATAAACGTATACAGTAATAAATATAAAATTTACTAAATAAATATGAATATCCAAATAATTTTTCCAATGCAATAAAATAATTTTCTAAATAATAAAAAAAAGGATTCTTCGGCTTATAAATTTTATTTAATAACGGAATTTATTAAAAGATAATTTTATTTCTGATTCAAATTTTTTTGTTATTACATGAAATGTACTTTTATACATATTTTTAAGTTTGTACAACTAAAATATATAATTAAATCTGCTTGAAATTATTAAAAAAAATTATTTAAATGCATCAATAAAAGTTACAGAGCGAAA